TAGCCTGGTCTGCTGTGGTGTGCTTAATGCTTGTACACATTCGTTGCATTAAGCCATCCCATTTATTTTAACCCCTTCATGACTGAGGCCCTTTTTTCAATTTTTGCACCCATGTTAAGCCTAACACAACACAATGGACCAATATTGTGTATGCAGCATTTTTGGAAGTGCATCACAATGCACATCTGTCAGCAAGGTGCACTGGAGTGCCATTCAGAATGTAACATGCATTGCTGGTGTGACTGGCCATCAAACACAGAGAAATCATGTTTTACAGTTTGTAGTATAGCAGCAGAGGATTGCACGCAGTAAGCATAAATGAATCCAATCCAGATTCCATAAGATCCCCACTGGGATCCCAAGGTTTTTAAAAACTATAGTAATATAATGTGAATTTAAAAGGAGAACTATGATATGAGTGCTTTTCACTCACCTCAAAGTTCTAGCCATCCTGTGACAATGAGACTGTCACAGGTTGGCTCAGTAGATCGGGAGGTGAGCGAACACATACCAGGTTCGCTCGCCTCTCGATCCTGTCACGGCTCTCTGGAGGGGCTGGATTCCCCTCTCCGATCTGCCAGCGCTGACTGGCGGAATGGACGGGGAGGGGGCGGGTACAGCTGGCTCTGCCTCTAGATAGGCAGAGCCAGCTGTCACTCACGTAGCTGGGCGGATCCCGCCATCTACGTCGGGATTCGCTCCGGCTGCGGCGTCTCAGTATACCGCGAGCTGTAGCTCGTGGTATACTGAGCTTAGGGTAACGGGAGGACGCTAGTTTGTGTCCTCCCGTCACTCTAAGGAGAACTAAGGAGAAAACACTGACCCCATAGTTCTCCTTTAAAGACACATTTTCATGGTCCATAAACAATGGCATAGCAATAGCTGGGAGTCCAGGACTGATTTCTGGTGCAATAACATAAAAAAATGCTTGAGCACATCTGCTACAATATAATCCTGTCAAAATCATAAGAATTAGACAATAAGCATTTCATCCCGGAGGGCTTGTTCACACCAAATGCAGACCAGATCTGCATGAGTTTCTGCACACGCAGTGCAGTGTGTTATACTGCGTTTATTGTCGCGTTTTTGATGCGTTCCTGGCCGTTTTTGGTTAAAATAAAAGTAATGTTAAGAATGGTCTTTCATTGTGTTCCAATGCGTTTTTGATGCGTTCCAGAAGGTAAATTATTAATAAATGGGTTTGAATTTGGTTGGGAGCACAAACATGCAACTGCATTTTCCAAAATTCCAACAAAATGCTCAAACTGAGGTCCAAAACATTCAAATACACTGTTTTTAAGTAATAAATAAATACAAATGTACAAATAAAAATGTGAAGCATCCCCCCCCCCCCCCCACCCCCTTATACTCACCTTACCCACACTCCATCTCCACTCCTTACTTCTATGCAGGCAGAGAGGATACCTAGCACTTTCAGGTATGGAGTAGGTAGCACAAGACCATTTCCCCTATGACAGTGCCCAAGCCTAGCAGCCAAATGACTAGGTCCGAGCATTGCCACATGACTAGGTGAGCGATGTCACAGACAATTTCAGCACTAGCTGTAGAGTAGCAAGAAGCTGCTAGTGAGTGCAGGTAAGGTGAGGCGAGTATTTGAGATCAGGAGAAACCCTTTGAAGAGACACTACCACTTCACCCTTTTGGCCATGATTAATATTAAAACTTTAGATACATTTAAGGCCAAACACATTGATGAGTTTTGAATGAATCAAAATGTTAGGAACAGTGGCTTCTAAGGTGGAAAGTAACTCACATTTTCAACTGTGCACCAGCTCTCAAGGACAGGGCTCTCCTTACCATCTTGTCTCGATTTGTATTGTAACTGTAATGTCTTCCTTATATTGTAAAGCACTGGATAAAGTGTTAGAGGGTGTTCATTTTTACAGCAAATTTCAATTTAGTTTTAGTCAGTCTTTTGATTAAAAGTCCATTTAGTTTTAGTCATATTTTAGTCGCCTGAATTGTTTTAGCTGACTAAATATTAGAAGATTTTGGTTGACTAAATCTACAGTAGATTCAGTCTACTAAAATCTAGTGGGTTTAGTTAAAGAGTAATTTAAGAATTTCCAATCTCATTACATACTCCTGGAGTAAACATCTGTTAACCTGTTACTTATGGCATTAAGGTTTGAACATTAACTGTTGTGATATATAAAATGTCTATTTATCTTAAAATTAGATTAAACCAAGTCTTATAAAAGAAACAATATTGAGTATTTTCATCAAAGGACCAGTAATTACATAAGCATTGATTATATAACATTCTTCATTCTTTCAAGCAGAGGTGCAACTCTAAAATATTAAGATGAAAAACTATATTGGCTGTAATGCCATTGCACATGTTACCTATTAGCCGTCCATTCTGGATGGAAATGGAAGTCCAATGAGATTAGTTCTGATTGGATCTCTTCCCAAATCATCTCTCCTTAACATTTCAGTCTAGTTTTAGTTAGTTGACTAAAATGTCAATATTTCAGTTCTAGTTTGGTCTAGTTTAAGTCACTAAAAAAGTGTTGTTGATGAAAAGGATTAGTGGACGACATGAACAATGCGAAAAACAAGCCAGGACAAAAGCAGCACTGTGCATCACAATAATGGTGTACAGATTACAGTGGTACCTCGGTTCACAAATTTAATTTGTTCCACGATTCTGGTTACGAACTGAATCAAACTGTGATCAGACCGCGATCTTGACTAGAGGAAGCCACGACCATGTGTCAGAGCAGGGAAGATGTCTGCGGTTGTGTTCGTCACCTAATGCGGAGTTTGCGAACAGAGGCCGAAATTCCTGTTCGCAAACAGAAGCGTCCGTGAACCAAGGTACCACTGTTTTTAGTAAGCAAATGCTTCATTTTGTGAAGAAGGTTCTGATTTTACTTTTGCTTTAAAGTTTATCTACAGCCAAAGCTTTTTTTCTAGTTTTAAAACAGAGTTTTCTCGTTTCCTGTTCTAACCAGAAAGACTATTTATCCTGGTTATTATGGACACTAAAAGTGAAAAAAAAAAAAAAAAAATGGAACATTTGAAGTTGTCAGCAGAACCTGAATAGAGGGCGATTCTTCAAATTGGGACACTTGTTCTAGTGACTATCAAGAGGGAATTTCCCAGCTTTGGAGAGATTTTCACTTCCTGTTTTGTCTACAGCACAGGAAGTGAAAGGAGGGCTCCCTAAGGTATATGAAAGAGAAAATCTTGTCTGGGTGGTTTTAACCATTCCCTACCCTATCTACAAAAGATGTTACTGCCCCCGGGACATGTTGCTATCTTCATGTCATAACATTGAAGTAACACAACCAGTACTAATTATATGTGCGTGTAAAGTCTCTTATTTGATGAGGCAATATGCAGCAGATGGAACGTACAAACCTCTTCCACTGTTTGAACTATATCAAACTAATAAAAGCCAATAGGCTACAACTGGACAAATGAGACATTCCCTGATACACATGAGAAGGGTTTCAATAATACTGATTTCATCAGTAAACAGCCAGAATTCAGATGTTTACACTCTGTCCATGCCTTGCCTGTTTTATGTGTGCCGATAATGACAACATTCACAGTACAGAGTCTCTAATCTTTGAGCCGTCTCTGTTTAGGCAGACGAGTAAAGAGGTCATGTATAAAAAAAAAGACTTCTAGCCCGCTAACACATCCCACCTGCACGTCTCATGTAGAGCAGAAGCACTGTTCTATACCATTATTTACAATGATATAGTGTACAAATCTGAGGTTACATGTGATGCAAGCCGATAAATGTAGAGGTTGTGGTGGATTTTACACCTCTGAGGACACCTTATCCCCTGAAACCAAACCTGTGGTTAGAACAAAGCCTATGTTACAACTTATACCTTAGGGCCTGTTCACACTACTTGCAGTGACTGGTGTTTTTCAGCAACTGAACAATTCTTGCCTGTGTGCCTGTTTACAACAAAAATGAGTGCGTTTAAAAGTGACACTAAACTTGGAGAGTTAAAAATTTATTTAAGTACCTTAACTATTAACAAACATGTATCTTATTGGTACAACATTGTCCTTCCTTCTGGAGGGTGGCTACTTTTGTTCCCCATGGTCCCCGTGTGTGTTGCAAAGTATGTATGTGTAGTCACCGATCCAAGATTACTCCCGTGATAGAATACAGTCTCTATACAAATAAGTAAACTAAACATGAGATTGTAGTCCATCACGAGAGCAAGCTGGGAGTGGTGGCTACTTTACAACACACAGGGACCATGGGGAAGAAAAGTAGCCACCCTCCAGAAGGAAGCACAGTATCGGCATGAATTCAAAGATGATTTGAGAATCTACAGCCGAGTGATACACAAATAAGATACATTTTTGTGAACGGTTAAAAAGGTATTTGAATGCAATTGTAAGATTTAACTTCTGAGTTTAGTGTCACTTTAGTAAACATGCTGCATTATTTCACAAAACACTGCTGTGCAGGAACCTGAGTGGATGGTGCCCAGTCCATAGGCACCACACGTTACAATCTAAGCGTACAATTGTGTAGCAGAAGTACCCGATTGATAAATGGTTTCATAGTTCCTAGTGATGTGTGGGGGCTTTCAAGCTGACACCCCCTTCCCAGCTCAATCAGTTGCGGCTGGGTCACTCCCTGGCCCTTTTTGATGGTGTAGAATAGATGCACTGCGGGAAATATCCCAGACGCAACTGATCGTTAGAGGAGGGGGTGGTCACTGACAGTTTTGCACAGTCTTAGGTCCACTTCATGAACTGTTCACCAAGTGTCCCCCCCCGTCCTTATATCAGTACTGACTGTAACTTGTATGGTGACCTCTGGGGTCATGTTGTGGTCCATATATACACAGCTGTCCCCAGAACAGTATAGAAGTGTAGACAGAGAGGCTCTATGACTGGGACATGTAGTTCCCCACAGGGTGAGGCTTGTGATGAGTATAACCCCTGGGGACTAGGCTCAGGGCTCTTATGGGTACAATGTGGAGGCGGCCTGCTCTCACCTTCCAGATATTTCCTCCTCAGGCTCCGGTGGACACTCTTCACCACCCCGGACAGCTTCTCCTGCTCCCGCTTTATGTCCCTGGTAGGGGGCACCGACATGGGCGCCGTGCTCTCTTCTTCATCCCTGCCAGTGCTGACACTTCTGCACAGCTCCATTGCTCTTCCCCGGCTACAAACAACAGCCATCCACACCCCCTTCACTTCTACTAGCAGGGCCAGCAACAGGCACGTCATCAGGAAGCCGGCTCAGCATAGGACGAGAAGGGAGGAGAGCGGCGTCCCCGGCATCCCTGTGGACGTGCTGGAGACAAGAGGTATAGCACAGCAAGCAAAAACTAGTGTGGACTCTAAACAAGGCGACTTCAGTTGTATTAAATGTTTGTTTTATTTATATATTATACTAAAATCATAATAACATTACATATCACATGTACTAGACTCAGGGGACACTCCACCGCTATATATGTCAAGTATGTATTATTGTATAACATGAAGGATACTATAATGACACTATACTTCTGTATGTCTCTATATATTCCCCATAGAAGACACCTCAATTATACCCCTGAGATGAGGAGAATACGCCCATACCCTGCTCACCATATCCTATCACATATATAGGAATAAAGATGATTATGCTTATTAAACTCTCAAACGTGTTATCAATAATGACTCCAGATCAAACAAATATACATGGCCCAGCAAATTATTTCTTTACATTTCTTCCCAAACACTTACAGTTATCATTTTTCCCAAATATCTCCAAATCCCTCAGCTCAGCTTCCCTGAAAGTCCTGTCCCGTATAAGATCACAAGGGACAGAGCAGTCTGCAGCAGCCGTCCATCTATTATCTTGGAGGAGGGACTTGGCCAGAGATGGGAGTAATCGGATGTAAACGGACACAAGCCCATTTATTTCTGGCTGCAAATAGACTAATGCTGGCCATACGCTGTTCTATTTTTTTTTGTTTTTTTGTTCAACCTGCGGGCTGAATGAAGAGAAGCGGACGAAATTTGCCTAATGTATGATTAAGAAGACAAATCAGTAAAACGTCGGACACCCCGGTCCGCATTTCTAGGAGCCGCACACCAAGTACCGCAACCGACATTTGTTTACCCTCACCTCAGGGGCAGCGCTGCACTAGGGGACATTTCTCCCAATTTTGCCTAATGTATGGCCCACTTAACATTGGGCTTCCAATCAGATCCACATGAAAAACTGGCAGGTGGACCTGATCAGGCCAGCCATCAGAAAGGGATCTAAAGTGGACCTCTACCCCCCCTAAACACAAAAATGACGCGCTGCATGCACATCCCTGGATTTCTTTGTACAAAGATTTTTTGTAACTTTCCCTAGGCACTGGTGACAAAGCCCCATAGGAGGGCCATGGCACCAGTGCCTTCCAGAGAGATCTCACCTAAACTCGTACATGCGCTGTATGAGATCCGGCATGGTTTGTTATTCAACAATCAATGAATAAATCAACTTTTATGGCGCATGCACAAGATGTGATGTCTGCATCAGATCTCATGCATGTAACATGTATAATCTGGTGCAGCTTGTGACTGAACAATAACAGACTTGTGCATACGCTACACAAGATCAGGTTAGGCTTAAGGCCGTGACACACTGCACGCGAAGCAGCGCGGAGCGGGGGCGCGCTGCCTTTGCGAGCAGTGTGTCATGTAATTTTCTGCTTGGCACCTCAGCTTGCGAGAGCTCGCGGAGCTGAGCGTGCCGAGAGGAACAATTTCAACTTCAGCCAATCGGCTCGCGCGTATAACCCAGCGCGATGCGACAGCTGGCAGGTTGTTACGGACGAGCCGATTGGCTGAAGGTGCTGTCAATCATCTGACTGCACTCAGCTCACACCCTGCCCACACAGCTCCCTGCCGGATAGCATTGCTTCGCTCTGCACGGCTTTGCGTTTAGGCTCCATGATTAAGCCTTTTTAATGAAACATGTCAGAGCCTGCGGATCTTGTCATGCTTGTAACATTGTAGAGTCCTGGGAATAAACTTTTTACATCGAGCTCCTGGTTTTTGAGTGCTGGGCTTTCCTTCCTACACTGCTCGCTCAACCTCCTGTGACAGCGTGTGTCTGTGTCAGAGAGGAGAGCAGGCTACATACACACACAAATTCTGCCCCGGCGCCCATAACTCTGGTTACGCCACTGGCTGTATGAGATCTGGTGCAGCTTGTTGTTGAACAATAACAAGCCTCCAAGCCCCGCTGGATCTCTTACGGCGTGAGATCTGGCACACTTGTCATCAGTGGGCCAGCTCAGAAAACAAGGAATCGAAGAAGAAGCTGACCACTAATGATGTTATTTTTAGAAATGGTGACATGGAATGCAAGACCAAGGTGGGGGGACCTGTGGGAAAAGGGCAATCTAATAAAGACTGAAGCATGTTACTATTTGTTTATTGATTACTCTAAATACATTTATTTAGCATGGACAGTTTACTACGGGGGGTCCACTTTAAGGCACTGTACCCCTGACTGTCAGGAGATTTGGTGCTCTGCTGGTCACTCTTCTCTGACATGAGAAATCAAAACCCTGCCTGTACCAAGATGGCCGCCTCCACCTGCACACAGACATAGTGCAGAACAAGATATGGTTGGTCAGCATGGGGAAAGATCAGCTGTAGAAAAACCACAGACAATACTGGTGACCTGTCCTTTGCCTGCTTTTTTTTGGGGGGGGGGGTACAGCTTGTAGAGGTCATACATCTACAGTACACAATCTGGCTGATATGAGTCAGTATTCATGTGTAAAGGCATGCCGCTGATACCTTCTATTTTATAAAATGGGCATCCCCTGTGATCACGCATACTCCTTGTATCTCTCTTCCTACAACTGGGTCATGCAAGCTTCTGCGGTGTGCGTTATTGACTTGCTGGTAATTAAGTGCCCGTATGGGAAGCCTACAGAGAGATCACTTGTGTTCCTATTATTTGCTTGTTTTTTCTCTGCCAAGGTTGTAAGGCCATTTTATCTCTTGCCTGAGCTCAGTGCTGAAAACAGACACTCATAAATCTACCATCTAAGACAGACATGTCAGACTGCTCTGTTTAATGGGTCACTTGAGGCCTTCTCCCTCCTTCACTGACACAACTGTGCAGCTTAATACTTTATGAAAATGTTTTATGGACCCTTTATCTGCAATGAAATGTGGTAAACTGCAATTTTTACTATGAGTGCTGAAGTGTCATAATCTTTTCTGGAATTAAGTAGGGGCAGCTCTCAGTAGACAATATGGTCCACAGTAGACATAATGCAGCCCCCTTGAAGATTTAGGGCTCATTCACATCGTAGTGTTGCATTAATCACACGACACCATGCGATTAAAACACGCTATCTCACAGCGCACCTAGTGTGCATTACCGTGCGCTAGATGCGTTGCATTGCCATTCCTTTGAATGGCACCCTAACACACCTTCTGGCTCCCGTACGTTACGGTGCAAAGCAAAGCATGGTACCACAATACTGTGTTGCCTTGTGGTGAAAAATAGTGGTGCATAATGCAACGCTGTAGTGTGAATGGGCCCTAAAGTTGGCCATACACTTTGTGAATTTCGTCCCCCATTTGGCCGGACATCCCTTGATCAGCTGATCGAAGGAGCTGGTCGGAAAATCTTCAAATGAACAGTGTTGGCAGCCAATGAGCTGCCGATTATGTTCAGGTCTTCTGGCCGGAGGCCGCTGTCAGAATACAATGAGGACAGCAGGAGATTCCTTCGTCCACGCTCGTCAGCATTGATGGATGAATCTTACATTTTCTTCCTTCAGCCTGCAGATTAAACAAAGAAAATATTACAGTGTATGGCCACCTTAAGTCCTGTCAGTTCAGCCCACTGTTCAATCTCAGAATTAGATGACTGACCGATGATAAGTGCTTTGATATGATGGTTTTGTAACCACATCAAACAGCCTGGATAGAGAGTTAAGCTGGACATACCCATTACGCATAGATTTTCTCGCTCAGCCCCGTAGGCTGAACAAGTGAAGTCTTTCTCTGATCTACACTAAACAGGAAAGGAGGCATGTTCCCTGCAGGCTTCCGTATTCTGACAGCTGGCCTTCACGGTACTATAAAGCCCCGTTCACATAGGCAGCTGCTGGCAAGAATCTAATAATGCACTGCATGCACCCAGTCTGTGGTGAACAGCCATTTCCAACGCCTGTTGTCAGATATTTACTATGTATAGACCAATGGCCTGACCAACCCTGGACAGACATTTTGAATCCAGGGACGCTGTTTCTGGCTGCATATAAACTGCAGCAGCTAAAAGGTGGCATTTGTCTGTACTTGAATGCAGCAAACAATCTGCCCCAGATTGTCCATCTGAATTCGACCTCAGGCTGGACATACACAATCCTCACTAAATAGCGTGGATGGACCAATCTCTTTCTACAGCAGGGGTGGTCAAACTCCAGCTCACCAGCTGTGGTGAGACTACAAATCCCATGATGCATCTGTCTTTGGAAGTCATGCCTGTGCCTGTGAGAGTCTTGCAATGCCTCATGGCATTTGTAGTTCAGCAATAGCTACAGCTATTGTATTCTAACAGCCATTGCTGCCGTCAGACTATATAAACAATGGGGGGAATTTATCAAAATTGGAGCAGACAGAACCTGGAGCAGTTGCCCTTAGCAACCAATCAGCTTCTATCTTCAGTTTGATCCGTTAAGGAAGCTGATTGGTTGACATGCACAGCTGCTCCAGTTTTAATAAATTCCCCTCAGTCATAGACTTGTGTCACCCTCTGTAAGAAGTTCAGGCGATTCCTGCGAAATTCCAACAGTGTACATCCAGCCTCATTGATTATCTCTTGAACAAACAGAGAGCCCAGCAGGACTCTGCTTTACCCTGATCCTGGAAGGGAGGGACAAGGAGGAGGTTGAGGCACGTATAAAGGGATGCCGGTGATGCCATCTTTCATATCAGCCTAATCCCTGCTCCACCAATAGAAAAAGATAACACATATTCCTCTCTCAGCCTTGCCGTACAATTAACCATTACAGCTTCGCAGGAGTCTTGTCTGTCGTCTTGTAATGGCTAACGAGGACACAAAAACAGTTCGTTTGACCTCATTGCGAAGGCGGAGTTGATCAGGGAAGGAATAGTGAAACGTCCAATCAGGAGTGATGACCACGCCCCTTTCTAGAGCACACATGCCCTCTTTGTTTCTGTTACTAGGCAGCCCAGCGTTCTACGTGCTGCGCCTCATCATCCTATGGATGAGATCATTGG